TGCCCTTCGACCGACCTCTCTCTCCCTCTCTTTCTCTCTCCTTCCCCTTCTCTCCCCCTCCTCCATTCAGTTTACTTCCAGATTCAAATGTGTGAATTTATCTGGCTAGAAATATCCAAATCAAGCTGGTGCTTGAAAGGAGTGGCGTGGGCTCACGAGGAAAAGTATAGACGAATAAAGAGGAGATTTAGGGGAGATGCAGTCAAGAATTCAATGCAAAATTAAGAAGAGTGAGGAGAAGGGTCGGAGGGGAGGGGAGGGTAAGAACGTTGAAAGGGGGGGACATCGATCAAGATGCCTGGTATTCATCAACTGCTTCGTTAAATGGCAACTCCTTTGTACAGCTACGGAAAGATAATGCGCCAAATAAAATTAAATTTTAAAAAGAGAAACATCCAAATCACACCTAGCATCAGGGTTGTGCCTGTAACCTGTTGTTATCTCTCATTTCCCTGAAAATCCGTCTCTAGGTTGGATGGACCCAATTCAAAGCGGGTGGGCTTTGCAGTGAGTGTGGTGTTAAGTATTGCCAGTAGAGGGCGATAAAGGGCTATTGCAGCAGGACCTGTCTTCTCTCCCTCATTTTGTGGTTCTGGCTTTTTCCTCTGTCCTGCTGGGTGGTGAGTTAGAAGCTGAGAATGTGAGCATAGAGAGGTGCTCTGCCTCAGCCTGGCACGCCCAGGGGCACAGCCTTCCGGCGACCTTGCCGCCCTGGTGTGGTGTGCCCACCACCTGCCAGGGATCATGGACAGGACACTGTGTGTGTATCCAGGCTCAACAACCAGGGCAGCGCCCCAGTGCCCACTGTGCACTGCTTCATGCCAGACAATGCTTAGCGGGAAACACGACAGGTTTTTAAAATAAGATTTATATATTTTTTTAATGTGGCCAGGCGTTGGTGGCACAAGCCTGTAATCCTAGCTACTCAAGAGGGTGAGATCCTCATGAGGATCACAGTTCACAGCCAGCCCGGGCAGGAAAGCCCGTGAGACTCTTATCTCCAATTAACCACCAGAAAACTGGAAGTGGCGCTGTGGTGGTAGAACACTTGCCTTGAGCTGAAGAGCTGAGGAACAGGGCCCAAGCCCAGAGTTCAAGCCCATGACCTACAAAACAACAACAACAAATGTGTAAAGCCATGGGTTCAAGTGCTAGCCATGCCCAAAACAAAATGAATGGAAAGGGGGAGGGAGGGGGAGATGAGGAAAGTACATGGTGAAAGTGAATTATATATAATGCACATATACATAATAGTGTGTAATGTCATCATATCAGAATACATTATATGTATATGGCTATATAATGTATATTATATTTTATGTGAAAGCAATTGTGTGTATGTATGCATGCATACTCACACACATCTACCTGCACACACAGAGCTAGACAGTATAATGAGCCCCCCTAAATACTGCTGTAAAAAAGGGGTAGGGAAGCTGGGCATTGGTGGCTCACGCCTGTAATCCTAGCTACTTAGGAGGATGAGATCTGAGGATTGCGGTTCAAAGCCAGCCTGGACAGGAAAGTCTGTGAGACTCTTATCTCCAATAAACCACCAGAAAACCAAAAGTAGTGCTGTGGCTCAAGTGGTAGAATGCTAGCCTTGAGCTGAAGAGTTGAGGGACAGCGCCCAGGCCCAGAGATCAAGCCCTACCACCAACAAAAAAAAAAAAAAAAAAAGGAGGGATGAAAGAGAGAGATAAGCATATAATGGGGTGAATTTGATATAAAAAATATATCACAGCAAAACCCGTTGCATAATTAATTTACACTAATAAAATGTCACATGCCATAAAAAATAAAAACAAAAGCCAACAAAAACTGGGAGAGAAAAAAAACACTTAGCCAAGTCCTATATTTGAGAAACTAGTTCAAGACCAGCAGGACAGGCTAAAAATAAGAGGAGTGGAAATTACAATAATAAAGAAGCAACAAAAATAGAAAACCACAGGATAATAGGATGAGCCAAAAAGGAATCCAGTTCTTTGAAAAGATTGTGTAGGAAAAAAAAAAACCAGAGATGACAGCTGGATGTCTGTGGCTCATCCCTGTAACACTAGTTATTTAGGAGGCTGAAATCTGAGGATCAGGGTTCAAAGCCAGCGTGGACAGGGAAGTCCATGAGCCTCTTATCTCCAATTAACCACCAAAAAGCTGGAGTTGGAGTTGTGGCTCAAGTGATAGAACACTAGCCATGAGCTAAAAGCTCAGGGACAGCACCCAATGCCTGAGGTAAAGCCCCAGAATCAGCACCAACACAACAAAACAACAAAAGTCCAGAAAGGATGCACTGAAGTAATGCTAACATAAAACAAAGGTTAAGTAATACAGATGGTAAATGCTTTTGTTGTTGTGACCATTGTTATTTGTGTGAACTAGGATCTTTGTAGCCCATGTTGTTTTTAAATTTGCTATCCTTCTCCTTCCCATCTCCCGAGTGTTGGGATTACAGGCATGCACCACCACACCTGCTACAACAGACAAAACTTTGCATGAGTACAATTTCCCATACAAAAGTGATGTATCCTTGGGCTGGGAATATGGTTTAGTGGTAGAATGCCTGCCTAGCATGCATGAAGGAAGGTCTCTGTCCGATTCCTCAGTATCACATAAACAGAAAAAGCCAGAAATGGCACTGTGGCTCAAGTGGTAGAATGCTGGCCTTGAGCAAAAAGAAGCTCAGAACAATGCCCTGGAAGTTCAAGCCCTAGGACTTGCAAAAACAAAAACAAAAAGTGATTTATCCCAGCCCAATTTTCCAAGTGAGTACTACCTCAAAACTTAATTTTTTATTCTTCATAACATCTTAGTTTCTCTGAAGAATGTTGCAATTCAATTTATGAAAACCATAAGATTGGGCTGGGAAGGTGGCTCAGTGGTAGAGCGCTTGCCTTGCATGCATGAGGCCCTGGGTTTGATTCCTCAGCACCACATAAGCAGAAAAAATAAAAAAGCTGGAAGTGGCACTGTGGCTCAAGTGGTAGAGCGCTAGCCTTGAGCTGAAGAGCTGAGGGACAGTGCCCAGGCCCAGAGTTCAGGCCCCACGACTGGACCCCCCCCCCCAAAAAAAAAGAAAAAAGAAAACCATAAGATAGGCCAGCCCTATCAATTTCCTTTCCCTTTCTTTTTCTTCCCTTTGGTTGGCCGTGGGGCTTGAACTCTGGGCCTGGGCGCTGAACCCTGAGCTCTTCAGTTCAATGAGAGTGCTTGACCACTTGAGCCACAGCACCACTTCTGGTTTTCTGGTGGTTTATTGGAGATAATAGTCTCACAGACTTTCCTGCCTGGGCTGGCTGCGAACTGTGATCCTCAGATCTCAGCCTCCTGCGTAGCTAGGTGGCATGAGCCACCAGGGTCCAGTCCTATCACTTTTCTTATTAGCTCAAGGTAAGGAAGGCTTCCTGACTTCTGCACACAAAATATGTTCAGGTCAAAGGCAGAAGGTTCCATTTTTAGGGCAGGATTATTTTCTTTGGTTGTTCTCTCTCTGTGTGTGTCTCTGTGTCCTTGTGTCTGTCTCCATACCTGTCTCTCTGTCTCTCTCCGTACTGTTCCTAAAAAAAAAATGTACTCACTGCTTCCTGATTTTTGAGTGAATTGAGAAAGCTGCCACAGGTTGCAGAAAGATGCCAATCAGCTTCATTTCTGGGAACTGGCTCACACCTTTGGATAGGTTGAAAGCCAGTTTTTCATCCCTGAGTCAGACAATTTCTTTCTAGGTGTGCCCATGGGTAGAGACTCTCATGGCTTGGCCAAATGGCTCAGATATCTGCTGCAAATAAAACTACTAAGGCATCCTGTGATTGTGGATTTCAGGTAAATTACAACTACTTTCTTAGCATAAGTGTGTTCCTAATATTGCATGGGAAATACTTATGCTCAAAGTGTACACTATTTTTCTGAAATTCAAATTGAACTGGTTATTCTGACTTTCCTGCCTGGGCTGGCTTCAAATCGTGATCCTCATGTCTCAGCTCCTGAGTAGCTAGAATTCTAGAGCCCCTGGCACTTGGTAATTAGTTAATTTCTCAGTACTCTACACCAAGCACCCTACCAGATACCAGACACTGAGTCAGTCAGACCTTTGGAAAGAAAGGTGGGGTGGGAAGGTGGCTCAGTGGTAGAGCGCTTGCCTTGCATGCATGAGGCCCTGGGTTCGATTCCTCAGCACCACATATGCAAAAAGAGAAAAGCCGGAAGTGGCGCTGTGGCTCAAGTGGTAGAGCGCTAGCCTTGAGCTGAAGAGCTGAGGGACAGCGCCCAGGCCCAGAGTTCAGACCCCACGGCTGGACCCCCCGCCCCCCCAAAAAAAGAAAGAAATGAAGCTTGGTTGTGTCATATGAGGCAAATACGATTGAGAGGGTCTAGGAGAAAGGGAAGTTCTACAGAGCTTAGTGCAAAACACGATTTCTCAGTTAGTGAAAGAAAAAGGGTTGTTTTTTTTTTGTTGTTTGGGTTTTTTTTAACTGTATTTTTTTGTCTTTTCTTTTTTGGTACTGGGGATCGAACCCAGGACGTCGCACTTGCTAGGCAAGCGCTTTGCCACTGAGCTACATCCCAGCCCGTGTGCCATCCTATGCACAGAAATATTGAGGGTATCACAGTGGGACTGCCTAGCTACAGGGGCGGGTCCTCTCTGGGTATTCTGTCCAATCCGGTGCCTGGGTCCTAGCCCGGTCTTTCTACAACTCTTCCCCCCGCCCTCCCCTCCCCGCCAGCCTACTACGCATGCGTATACGCTAAGGTCCGCGCCCGTCCTTGCCCCGCCGCCCTGCAGGTGGCGCTGGCGACCACGCCGCCGCCGCCGCCGCCGCCGCCTCTCCCGGGCCAAGCCAGGCGGTGCCGGCCGCCTTGCGGTCCCAGGTCCGCCTCCGCCGCGCCGAGGGCGTGGGCTGCCGCCGGCTCCCGGAAGCGGCGGCCGCGGCGCGGAGCCGAGCGGGCGGCGGCCCCCCGGGAGCGGCAATGCGCGGCCGCGGGAGGCTGTGAGCGCAGCGCGGCGGGCCGGCCGGGCCCCCCCAGCCGGCGAATGGCGGCTCGTTGAGGCGGCGGCGGCGGGCGCGGCGGGCGCGGCGCGGCGGCTCCGGGGTGATGCTGCTGAAGCTGCTGCAGAGACAGACCTACACCTGCCTGTCCCACAGGTATGGGCTCTACGTCTGCTTCGTGGGCGTCGTGGTCACCATCGTGTCCGCCTTCCAGTTCGGAGAGGTGAGTGGCGGGAGCCCGAGCCCCGCCGGCGACGCCGCGCCCCGGGCCCCGGCCCCCGGCCCGGCCCGCGTCCCCGCCGCGCCCCGGGGCCCCCGCGCCGCGTCCCCGCCGCGCCCCGCCGCGCCCCGGGGGCCCCCGCGCCGCGTCCCCGCCGCGCCCCGGGGGCCCCCGCGCCGCGTCCCCGCCGCGCCCCCCCCCCCGCGTCCACCTCCCCTCCCCCCCGATTCATGGCGGAGGGGTGCTGGCTTGTCATTTCGGGGATCCGATGCCACCCTGGCGCCCCCCATCCCGGCCCTGGATCTAGACTGTGGTTTTCTCCTCTCTCGGCGGCTGCTTGTCCCCCGGCGGCGGCGCGCTCCTGCTGTCTGTCCAGGCGTTTCTCTCCTCCGGGGCCACCCTGCTAATCTCGTCACCACCTTGCAAGCACCTGATCTTAATCTCTTCTCCTAGCTTCAAACTTCTGTGCCGCAGCTATCCGGATGCGTTTCTTTTTGGGGGGGGGTGTCCTGTGAATTTGAATGGGGAAAGTGAGCTGCCCCCCCCCCCCTTCAAAGGATTTAATGTTGAAAGGTTCCTTGCGCAGTTTTGGACTGCCCGGGGTTGGTCGGTTAGCACGTGGAGGCCCTGTGCAGGTGTGCGCACTCCGGCGGGAAAGGTCGCCCCGCCGGCCCCAAGGCGTTTCTTCCTGCCTGGAAATCCAGGAGGGCCCCTGGTCAGGTGACCAGGACTGGGTAAAACTTATCTTGGACTCCAGCCCCAGACCTCCTTGGGTCATGGGATTTGCTAATAATTTAGATCACCCAAGCTAGGCCTTTCTTGATCTGTCTTTTAGTTAATGTGCCCATAATGCAGCTCAGGTAATACGTTTGGGAACAGCCGGGAGAAATGGATTTTGTGCTCCTTGGAATAAACTTCAACACTGATATTATTGGAAGCCTAATACAGTAGTCAATCCCCCCCCTCCCCCATCCTAGAGCTTTAACTCAGGGCCTGGGCACTGTCCTTGAGCCTTTTCACTCAAGGCTGGTGCTTTACCAGTTGAGCCACAGCTTCACTTCTGGCTTCTAGGTGGTTCCCTGGAAAGGACTCTCATGGACTTGGCCTGCGTGAGCTGGCATCGAACTGCCATCCTCAGATCTTGCCCTCTAGAATAGCTAGGATTACAGGTGTGGAAACCACCAAAGCCCTGTTTAGTAATACTCATCTTCAAGGGCACACAGACTTTCAGCAGATGAGAACTGGAAGAGTCTGTGTGTGATTTTAGCCAGAGGGAGAAATGCTGTACTTGCAAGTGATTTGAAATCTGCCTTCTCATTTTTTTTTTTTTTTGTCGGTCATGGGCTGAACTCTGGGCCTGGGCGCTGTCCCTCAGCTCTTCAGCTCAAGGCTAGCGCTCTACCACTTGAGCCACAGCGCCACTTCTGGCTTTTTTCTTTTTGCTTATGTGGTGCTGAGGAATCGAACCCAGGGCCTCATGCATCAGAGGCAAGCGCTCTACCACTGAGCCAACTTCCCAGCCCCTACCTTCTCGTTTTTTATAATTTTCTACCAATACATTGTGCAACGAACAGAATAATTTTTAGAAAGGCTGTACACAGTCCACATGTTTATGAAGTCTCTACCTACTTTGTACTTGTGGATGATAAGCTCAATAGGAGGAGTTAGCTGATAAATCACCCACACCGTGGCCCAAGCACAGTGCCAGGTACTGCCAGAGTGTGCACTCTAGGTGTTGAATGATGGCTGAATCGTCTGGCATGTTCCCAAGGGGGCACTTTTAGTAGTTCTAAGGACTGAAAAAAATAAGTCGCATAGGTCACGGTGAGAAAGATCCAGATTTAGAAGTGTGCAATCTGTGTAAACATCACAACCCCCTGCAACCTGGGACCAGGCAGTAAGGGACATGTATGGTGGAATAGAGGTTTGGGGCACCAGGGCAACCTGTAGCCCTCTCCAGCTTCCACCAGTGCCCAAGGGCCTTTTTACCAGGTATTTATGGAGTAGGGTAGAGTGGCTTAGTGCAGGAAGTCTGGTATCAATATTCTTGAAGTCACCACCACCCATCTTGTGATACAAGCTTATTCAAGAGATAAATGAGTTCCTTATCTTAGGAATTAGAGTTTAGAGGTGGAAGGACTTACTATTTGCATAGGCTTTTATCCATCTCCACTCCTCCCCCCCCCCCAAGCTTCCAGAAAATTTGGAGTGGAATTAGCCTACACCCAGGATAGAAATCTGAAATCCTGTCAAGCCTGGACTGATTGATATTTTTCAGGAAACTCTCTGTGTTCTGAGAGTTCATGTTGAAAGAAGGCCTTCCGGATTTTTTTTTTTTTTTTCTTTTTTGCTTATGTGGTGCTGAGGAATTGAACCCAGGGCCTCAGGCATGCAAGGCAAGCGCTCTACCACTGAGCCAACTTCCCAGCTCTTTTTTTAATTTTTTGGGTCTGGTTGTGGGGCCTGAACTCTGGGCCTGGGCACTGTCCCTCAGCTTTTCAGCTCCAGGCTAGTACTCTACCACTTGAGCCACAGCGCCACTTCCAGCTTTTTTCTTTTTGCTTATGTGGTGCTGAGGAATCGAACCCAGGGCCTCAGGCATGCAAGGCAAGCGCTCTACCACTGAGCCACCCAATCTTCCAATCTCTGCTGGCGATTCAACAGCTAATACTCTACTTATTACTTTACTCTCTGCAGTTCTCTTTTCCCCCCTCCCTCTTGTTACAACTTAATGTATCTATACACAGTTAAGTGCCCAGTTGCTATTGAATTACTTGTTTTTTGTGAGATGGTCATGAGGCAGACAGTCTTGAACCCTACATTCTTCTGTAGTACCCCTCGAAGTGCTGGAACTCACCACACCACCACACCAGGCTGTGTGGTGTCCTGGTGTCTTAATCATCCCAGGCTGCCCTCTGTCTGATCTTAGAAAGGATACTTAATCTCTCTAAGCTTCCTCATCTCTAAAGTAAATGCAGAAATACTTTCCCTGTAGGATTGGTGGGATTAAGATCGGTGAGAAAAGTATCTCTTATCTCCACACAATTTGTGACAATAATGGACTCTCATTAAACAGTAATTGCTGCTGCTGGAATTCATTAGTATCTTACATCCTTAATTTGGGAGGCACGGCTCCCTCACGCCTGTAATCCTAGCTATACTAGAGGCTGACACGTGAGGATCATGGTTCCAGTCAGCCCAGGATATAGAAGAGGTATTGATTCCTATATTCCTTTTGTTTTGTTCTTGAACTTAGATTCTGGGCACTATCCCTGAACTTTTTTTTTTTTTTTTGCCACACTTCTACTTTGTTAGTTATTAGAGATAGGAATCTCACAGACTTTCTTGCTGGGGCTGACTTTGAACTGCGCTTCTCAACGCTCAGCTTCCAGAGTAGCAAGGATTACAGGTGTGAGCCACCACTTCCTGACTGGTTGCTGTTTTAAGAATATACTCATCCAGTGCTGGGAATGTGGCTTAGTGGGTAGAGTGTTTGCCTAGCATGCATGAAGCCCTGCGTTTGATTTCTTAATATTATATAAAGGGAAAAAGCTGGAAGTAGCACTGTGGCTTAAGAGGTAGAGCACTAACCTTGAGCAAAAGAAGCTCAGGGACAGTGCCCAGTCCTGAGTTCAAGCCCCAGGACTGGCAAAAAGAAAAAAACTAAAAAATAGAATGTACTCATTCAGGCTAGCAATATGGCTTAGTGGTAGAGTGCTTGTCTAACTTACATGAAGCCCTGGGTTCGATTCCTCAGTACCACATAAATAGAAAAAGTTGGAAGTGGCACTGTGGCTGAAGTGCTAGAGTGCTAGCCTTGAGCTCAAGGACAGTGCCCAGGCCCTGAGTTCAAGTCCCAAGACTGGCAAAAAGAAAAAGAAAAAATATATATATATCCAAATTTTGGGAAAGTAATTGTAATTGAAGGAAGGAAATACAAAGGCAATGAGTCTCCCCCCTTCAGCTGAATCAGGTACTTTCTAGGAGAGCCTGGGGAGCTCTTATCAGCCAGCTCTAGCGCTGGATGCAGAAGTGACTTTTCTCAGAAAGGGGTGTAATGGTCGGTAGGAGAGGGTGACGGGAGGAGCTTGTGGGTGGTAAGCTAACTGACCTGGGTGAGTCAGAGGGCCCTGAGAGTCTCAGTTTCCTCACATGGAAAGGAAGGTGTCAGATTCGCTATGCCCTTAAGATTATTTTTAGCTTACCCTCTATTTAATTAGTATTGTATGTATCAGGGCTGGCCTAATTCGGTTGAACTATAACTAAAACTATAACTAATAACTGAAACTTCTGGAACTACCACAGTATATACATCAGTATTTTTTTCCCACAGTGAAATACATAAATATTTCCCTGTGAAGGAAATGTAAACTATCTATAACGTTATGCCTGTTGAGGTCAATGAGTTCAAATCAGATCAAGCTTTGCTGCCAAATAAGATACATAACTGTCTTTGATGTTTGGAGCTTCCCCTCCCCCCCCCCAGTATTGTGAATACAGGATTGTAGATGTGTGTGTGAACTCTATAGCCCTGCCTTATGAGACCTAAGCTGTAAACAAATACCTCCAAAATAACTTACATAAGAAGCTGGATAGGAAGGAGTAGATGGGATCTATTCCTAGCAGATGGTAGTTTTTCCCTGGCTTCTCGCCTTGCTTGCCTATTTTCTCTTGCTATATTTAAAATTTTTCATTTTTAAAATATTATTAAAGTGAAATATGCAGAGGATTACAGTTATATAAGCCAGGTGATGAGTGCATTTCTTTTTGGACAGTATTATTCCTTCTCTTGCTTCCTTTCATTTTTCTCCCTCCCATCCCTACCCACAAGTTGTGTAGTTCATTTTCCACATAGTATCTAGTGAGTACCATTGTTACACTTGTCTCTTGCTATTTTACTTTTTTTGTTGTTGTTGTTGTTGGTTGCGGGGCCTGAACTCTGGGCCTGGGCGCTGCCCCTGAACTCTTCAGCTCAAGGCTAGCGCTCTATCACTTGAGCCACA